CACGCAAAATCTACTACACAAATTTCTTGATGATTTTATCTCTTCTTTGTTATGTTATTAAAAATGATAAATAAGGAAATGTGACTATTATCGACATTGCTTGATTGTAATTTCCTTAGGATTTTTTTGTCACGGATGCGTGTACGATGACTTTTTTTAGAGTGCCGATATTAAAAAGAGCACTTACTTACTAGATCGAGGGAAAAGTATCATAGGAGATTAGAAATAGATTTTATCTATTCCTTGATCTACGTCCCTTACTCTAACCATATTAATTTGACCTACATAAATTTACATGAAAATCTGAGATGCTCGTTTTTGAAAGTGGTTTCGTGTCGTTGGCTTCTAGGGTTTATTCTATTTTTAGTCATTAGAACTCCTACTCGGTTGTTGAAGGTTGGAGGAGATAGTCAACCACTTTTCTTATTTCTTTTAAGATATTGAAGTCATGCACCTCTGGATATTGTGAATTGTGGTGCTCCACTAAGTTTTCATCGTGGTGCTTTGCAATTGTTCTGCCAGCTGCCCAATTAGTTAGCTAGGGTTAGGAAAGGGTTATGGTAATCATAGATTAATTTAAGTCAAACATTTGAGTTATTGCAGCAATGTCATGCTATATTAAGATGCTTTCATGTTGATTTGTTGCAATGTTTTGGTGTCCCTTTTTATTTTTGTGGTCAAGTTTTGGTGTACCTTTTAGGGTCTACATCAGTTCTCCATGTTATCTAAACACATATAGGGTTATGTTTCAAGAGATGAAAAATTAAAATTAAAATATAAAAAATATAGTTTGCATAACAGGTTGGGGGGAGAGGCGACATAATATTTGAACTCCAGAACTTCACAAGGGACCTAAATATTTAAAAGGAAAAAGTAAGAACCGCATCTAATTAAGTATTTGATACAATTTTTTTTTCTTTTTTTTACAAACGAAGAGTTGAAACTGTGGACTAGAGCCTAATTACTAATTTTCTTTTAATCTCAAAACTGAAAATTCTCTTTATATGAAGATATTACAATTGCAGAATTACTTGCAAGGCACGGAAAGAGCCACAGAGGATCCTCCTCCATCCATATGTTCTCCCTCCATATCACATACAATTCCTGAGCCAAACCCTGCCATATCTTTTGCAAATTGTATTGTATTCCTTCCAAATAGCCCTGCAGTTCTATAGTTTTTTTTGTGAAAAGTACCTCTCTAGCGGTTTTTCAATAGCTGCCAACGTCACGTCCCGCATCTCTAATAGTTATTCCAACCCCTAGGTGCATGTTTTGTCTTCCCTTAGTTATATACATTGGATCTTATAAAACAACCCAGGAGGAGGCTCTTACTTTTGTGAGGAGTACTCTGCATATTGGAGGGTGGTTTTCGGTTGCTAATTTGGAACTCCTCGCACAACAACAATGCCTGCTGTTATAACACGAATAATGCAAGGTAGAATTCCTGTCATCCCAAACAGCCCAACACAGATAGGCAGACATTTCCACTTCTTCCCTCCTGAGAACCATGCAAACTTGAACTACTAAATCAACCACACTAGATAAATGCTTGCGTTGATCCCCCTCACCAACAGAATAAACTCTGCAATTACAGTCCAAAACACTAGAAGGTCAAAATATAAACTTGCAATAGAACTGAGATAGACATAAAGTTTAACTGGCCAAGCAAATATTAGCAATTATTAAGTTACATACAAACTTCTTTTCCTTGTCAACCGAGGCTAGAAGCTCCTCCTGTTTATGGCGGGCTTCCTCAAGTGCCTGCAAAAATGCAACAAGAAGAAAATGTCTAGATTTTCTTTTTCTGGCTTTAACTTTGTATGCAACATCTATAATAATTCAAGAGTATCAAGATTTTACTTTCTTGGCTTCTGACAGCTCTTGTTCCAAAGCATTGACGCGGTCAAGAGCAGCCTTCAGCTTTTCCTCCTTTTGAGTCTCAACCTTGACAAGAATAGGGACATAAAGAAAATGTACTTGATTACATTTATTTTTCTCTTGATTTGGATCTTTAGTTTCTGTTCCTTAATTTTTGTTTTTGTATGCAACTTCACTGACAGAATTCAAGAATACCAAGATGATTACCTGCTTGGTTGAGGACAGCTCTTGTTCTAAGGCACTGAGTCGGTTGAGAGCAGAGTTCAGCTTTTCGGCCTCTTTCTCAGTTCCCTTGTCCATTGCCTCAAAATATGGGCTATTACATATTCTGGGAGTTAAAAGCTGCAAACGATGAAGAAAATCAAAACATAAAATGATAATGGCCCAGCAAGTGCCGGATGCAGAATTTTATCCTCATGGAGGCTAAGCTGAACTATAATAAGACTAAAAAGTTTTGAAAAAGGGAGAGGTTGAGAGTTAAGTGTTAACTAATCCATAAGTAGGTAAATCTAAATATGCAAATGGTTTTCGTGATTAAAAAAAACATAGTCTTGCAAGAAGCTACAAAAAAGTTTCCCAATGATGCTTGAAAGGGGTTGTGAACCTGAAGTTTTATGCATATGAAAGAAAAAGGGATGAAGTTACAAATAGCCACCCTCTTTTGAGTAGCACAACTTATATTAGGATGCTAAAAGCCTGAAACTAGTAAAGAAAACAAAGGTATCGCAGAATTCACATGTTTGGGTCACAATTGTAAAATGTAAATGGAACATGAAAGTCCCCTAAGCTTACATCTTCAGGCACAGAAGAGAGATGATCCACATGCATTTCAGCCTCTAAAAAGGTTTCTGAGCAGAAAGAATCCATTCTCTTCATGCAGGACCATACCAAGAGAAAATAACAAAGAAATAGAAAGTCAGGAAATTGATCATTTATAAAAACTGAAAGAAGACAGTTAAACACAAAAAAAAAAAACAAAAAAAAAAAACGCAAACTTGGGCCAAGGTCTCCATACATTTGTGCAAGCCTGATCATCTTCAGAGATTATCTTCTCCTCGTCAGAGAGTGTCTTCTCCGGTTCAGAGATTGTCTTCTCCTCTTTCTCCTCTTTCTCCTCTTTCTCCTCTTTCTCCTTTTTCTCCTCTTTCTCTTCTTTCTCCTCCACATCACCTGATGGAGTGTTGTTTATGCTTTTTGCCTCACGATAACTCTGAACCATCTGCCTCATGAAATAACAGATTTTGTGATCTCTTGTTCACGTTACACTAAGAATTAGGAGATGTCACAATCAAAGAAAAGTCAAATACTTGTTGATAAAATTATTTGGTTTACCACTATTCCCAAAGGCTAAGCTGTTAAATTGTGGGCCAATAATTATTTATTATTCTAACATTTCCTCACATGTAGGCCTCTTTCCAACAACACTAGAGCCCAACATGTTGAATTCAACCTAATATTGAGAGGTTGTAATTGAGGGATTCGAACTTAGGTTGGTGATTTAACAAAATCCCCAAAAGCTTAAGTTGTTAGGTTTGTGGTCAATAATTATTTCATGTTCTAACAGTAGAAAATCACCTTCATTATTTCTGGATCGTTCCATGGGCCCTTATCTGATATCATACAGCCACCCTTATCAGCACAAGTACAAGTACCACCCAAAAACTCTGGCAGCTCGCTGCAAACGTACTGCAAGATGAAGAACAGGACTGAAGAAAATATATTTTTCCAAAGGACGCACATACCTAGCCTCAATTATTTCAAGCAACTTGCTCTGGTATTGATTTCCAAGAACCTAATGCATAATCACCAGCACCTTTAGCACAGTACTAGATCAAAATTTCAAATTAGCACTAATTTATAGTGAACAAATGGCAGAAACTTACGTTAATTTTTGCAGTGGTCTTGGGATCAAGGAAAGATTTGACAGTGTTCCATAAGAGCCTAAATCCAGAACCAGCATTGATGATGAACATACGGTTCAGGGTCTACATCAATCAAAAGATTCAATCAGTGCCACAGAATACAAAGACTACCTTTCATGCTACGGAACCAAGCCAAGAAGCTTGTTAAATGCGAACTTGAAATGATACAGCTTTTTACAGGATACCTCAGGATAATTGTCACCATCAACCTTCTGTAGACGCTGGATAAGTTCCCTTGCAGATTTATTTAAGCTTGTAAGCCCCTGCACACCGATTATACGAACACCTATTACCTCTCTTAAAAATTAAAATTAAAAGTATGGAAAAATTTAAATGAAATAACATCATGTTTGACACCCCACTAATTTAGAAGCAACCAGCAGACCTCCATATTAACTCAATGAAAAGATCACTTTGTCGTCAGTATAATTGAGTATCTCCAATTGGCCTAAACTAAAAGAATGAGTTTTCACGTACCACTCCTTGTACATCCAGAATAGTGGTGCTCTGATCAATGTGCTTCTTTGCTGCAATGGAACAGGCAGGGAATTTACATACAAAGGTCCTCTCAAACTCCCGTATGTGGTACTTCACATAACGTTCCATTGACGTCACTTGCATCAGTTTGTTAGAATCAACTTGACCAAGTCTCTCCATGTAGACCGGTCGTCCATCCTTATCAACTCCATGATGCCCTTGTGGATAGTATTTCAAGACTTCATCAACTTCCTTGAACTCAAAGTCCTTAACAAGGAAATAACCAAAGGGGAAAGTTCAGACACATATTAGATAGTCAGGCTAAATTGTCTCCACTATATTCCCAGATTGATAGAAGCATTGAAGAATACCTCCATAATAGTGTCAGCACCAAATTCCTGCCTCCACTGTAGCATGTCAGACCACATTTGCTTTGTTTTCTCAAGGTCAAATTTCCGTGCCCGTAGAAATCTGTACCATCATACAAGAATATAACAAACAATCTATTCATAACCGGATAATAGCAACTCAGGCATCACAAATCAATGTTAGTAGCAATCAAAACAGAGAATGTGTAACCTTAGCATCATGTGAGTATCATCATGTTTTGAGGGCAGTAGTTCTTCCGAGATAAGTGCTTGCCGGAGTTCCTGAGCTGCCT